TTCGAAGTAGATTAATTGAATTTCAACTGAATTACAAGATGGATGAAGTTTTGCGCACAATGGCAGAATCCTTTCAGCGACATGAACAGCTGTTGGAAATGCTTACCCGTACCCAAGCCGCTCAAGTGGAAGCGAGCGAGCGAATGGCCAGTCAAAACATCGAACGAGCGACACGACAAACAGAAGTTAGAGTGGAAGGACTTAAGATGCCGAAGTATTATGGACGAATGGACGAAAGTATTAGCCTATACATCCACCAAGTTACGACCTTTTTCAAGGCAAAGAACGTGGATTACCAAGAAAACGATGGGACTCAACAGCGATGCATTGCCATGATGGTGGCAAATTTCCGTGGCCTTGCCGCAGCCTGGTACCAAGAACGGCTTTCGCGCGGTGAGTCTCCAAACACCCTAATCGAACTGGAAGAAGAGCTGCGAGCCGAGTTTGAACCCGACGATTTACAAGATCGGCTGCGTGATCAGCTTTACGAATTGAAGCAAGCCCAGTGTGCGAGCTTGACCGAGTATGTTGCCAAGTTCCGACGAATCTGTACGCAAGTGTGCGACATGACTGAGCGCGACAAGGTATCCTGGTTCCAACGCGGTCTGCGAACCAGAACTCGTGAGGAGTTGCAGTATCGTCGCTGTGAGACTGTGACTCTCGCGATCCAAATTTCCCTGGACTATGAACGCTCCCACAACTCGACCCTTAACGGTGGTCACGCCAGAGACCTCGACCGCTTTCATCGCCACGATCGTCGCCATCAGTTCAACAACAGACACCAAGGAAGTCGCCCACCGCATGTGTATCCTCCACGCCAGCGCCAAGATGATGACATGAAAGTAGACAACGCCCAAGCGCAACACCGTGGACAACGCCAAGTAGGCCCCTGTTACAACTGCGGACGCATGGGCCACAGAATCAGTGACTGTCGCTCTCAACCCCAGAACAATCAAGGAAGAAGCCAAGCTCAATCGCAGCGCAACAACATCTCAAGACATGCCAACCGGCCTCAGCGACCCCAGCGCAATACACCGAGTCGTCAGCACAATGCCCAAGTATCCGAAGTCAACAGCGACACAGAAGACAGCGAAGATGACGTAGAAGAAGTGATCCTAGGCAACAACATGGGCCTAGCCCAGCAAGACTCCGCGGAGGAGGAGTCGCTTAACATCAATACCGCCCAGCAAGCAGTGCCAGCGCAAGAAAACAAGTTGATGATAGTTCACGGCGCACTCGACAGTACAAGCGTTCGCATCCTGATCGACTCTGGTGCCTCGAACTTGCTTTGCCGCCCAGGTTTAGCCAAGACAGTGATCCGTTCCAAGGAAGTTCAAGCAGAAGGCTTCGATGGACACTGCTCTGGCATCAAGAAAGTGAAGGAAGTATCTGGCACACTTTGCTTTGGTCAATGGACGTTCCCGGATCTT